ACTCCTTTACAAAAAAAAGATTCGATGTCAACCTCATATCCACATGCTATGGCTCATAAAATAATAATAACCGTAAGTCGGTTAAATAAATTAGTACTCACTCCAGTAATATTAGAAGCTAAGATTGGTTGTTGGAAAAATTTTCTGGCTGTATTATGGGTATTACCTGATGTTCTCTTCGGAGATAATTTTGAATTTTTATTTCCCTTTCAGCAACAATTTCTTTATTCGCCTCGCGGACTTGCCACTTTTTTATTGGCAATTGATATCATCCAGGCATACTGATTGTGTATGGTTCAATTAGCGTGATTCAACCGTTTAACCATTCAGCATTTGATTTTTCAAAATATGAAAGTGTTCTATTACACTTCCTCCACTTCATTGCAAGCTTGGCAAAGTTGTCAATTTTTTTATTAACTGACAGAAGCTCCTCTTCCGTATAATTGGCTTTTCCGATTATCTCACTAAAAACATAATATTTAAGGGCTTCAACTTTTCTTGCTTGGTCCGATTCCTTGCACTATATAGCAAAAAGTGTTTTTTTTATACCCTGAACCCTCAATTGAAATTGGAAAATTAGGGTATAAGGGTTTTGTGAAAAAGTATGTAGCGGGCAGAAGGAATCATCGCAGACCCCATAAAGTATATATATATTCTGATCAGCACGACGAGCTGAATCGATATAGCTCTTTGCGTCTGTCCGTCCGTCGATCTCAGAAGTTATACGAGCTAGAGAGCTGAAATTTGGCATGCATACTCGTGTGTACCATACGCAGTACAAGTTTATCATATTTTTTCGATAACTCATCCGATAACTTTTTTTATCGAGAATACCTGAAAAACTGATTTTTTTTCAGCCTAATTTTAACACTTTTAGACCTAGAGACTCCAAACTTACTATGTATACACAGATCGATACAAAGATTTTGTTATTTACAGATTTTGGATACCACGCCCCTTTCGCCCCCATTTTGTAAAAACGCATTTCAAGTACTACTTGTGCTTTGGAATGTACACACATTTTAACCATATGATCACGTTTTGAAAGTTTCATTAAAATTGTATGTCTACAAAAGAAATTATTCAACAAATAAGCTCTCATAATATTGCCCACACTGCAGCGCAGCCCAAGCGCAGTCGCTGCTAACTGCGCAGTCAGCAGAGCACGAGATTATACATACGTGCGTGTGTATGCATAAAAGAAGTGCAGAATAAGTAGAGTATCAGCTTAGAGGGTTCAGAGCAGTATGGACTAGAACCTTCTTACTTGTTTTATACAGACATTATACCTATAAAATAATCTATACATATGAGTGCAGGTATTGGCAGCTCATTTTGACACTTGACGATTCACAAAAGATCATTTTTTAAATGAAAAAGAGATCTGGGCGAATATTCGCGAATATCAAAAGTTATAGTCTACGAAAGTTGAAGTATGTGAAAAAATATCGCTCTACTGGAATGGTTAAATATTTCTTGGTTGTGAATCGTAACTTGCGATCGATTTGAGGCAGTTTAGAAAAACTTTGTAATCAAAACATCATCTGTTATCTCGGCTTAATTCGGATGTAAATTTTTAGAAAAATTTGTTTCTGTTTTAATGAGACTGTAATTCCTTAAACCTTATGGTTGATATTGAGTTTAACCACTGACCAGAGAACACATAGACTAGACATGTAGTACAAAGTTGTTCAACACCGAAAAATCTGTCTCCTAGGGCCTATCAATTTCGTCTTTGCTCGGCTCTTCACTTTTGAGGTTCGGTCTACGAAAATATGCGAAAGTACAATCATTCCGCTTCATGCGCTCGACCGAGATGGTCAAATGTTGAATAAAAGATGCCTGTATGCTCAATTTTTGTTCTTGCTCTCTCGCTCTCTCTGCTCTCTTTGGTCTCTCAAATATGATATGTATGTATGCATGTGAGCACAAGCAGCAGCTCACGAAAATTGAAATTTCTTCGCGTTAGACTGCCGTTTCTTCCCTCATTCCTCCTCATTATTGTCAAAAATTTCTAATTAAGTCATAATGGCCCATTTGATAGTCACCCTACGATTCAAATAATACAAAATTTACAAACTACTAAATCCAGAGACAATTAGCTTGGGATGCATACATACACACACATACTTACAATATTCCACAGGCATCAAGAATAGTTTTCCATACTAACACATAAGGGCTCATACATGTATGTAAAACGGGACTGTAACTGATGATTGACGAAAATACTGAGAACGAATTGAGTTTCGCGACGCACGCACTCAAAAGCACATACACGTAGCAAGGATGTCAATGTGTGTGTGCATGCTCGTCGCGAAAATGTATTCTTTCTGTGCACAACAGCCTGTGCAAATTGTAAAGCCCAAAATTTGCCGTTGGTCTGCCTTGTGAAGTGAGCACATGCATACATACATTTGTGTATGTGTATGCTTGTATGTCTCTGGATTTAGTAGTTTGTAAATTTTGTATGATTTGAATCGTAGGGTGACTATCAAATGGGCCATTATGACTTAATTAGAAATTTTTTACAATAATGAGTATTTCATATATTGCAAAGCATTTAATAAAGTTAGTAGTGTTTTACAATAATTTTTTCGGTTGAAAATGTGTATAAAATAATTTTAATTGTATATATTTACGGATATAAACACATTGATAAACATGATTAGCAATAATAATAATAGCAAATAATAATAATAAATTTACTTATGTACATATGTATGTTCATACATAGTACATCTGTGTAAAGTGGTTATGACAGTCCGTAAGACCGACCAAATGCAAATGCTGGGCTTTAAAATTGCTACAAGCAGCAAGAGTAACGCACGCAGGTCACAAATGCTCATACATGTATCAAGGGACTACAAGTGTGTGTGTGCATGCCCCTCGCGAGATCATATTCTTTATGCGCCTCAACGCATTCATACCCATACTTTTAAGATTTCGGTATACTCTTCACTCAAAACGAAAGAGCTGGGACCGTCGCGAAGGAATTTCAATTTTTGTGCGCTGCTGAGCTTCATGATTTGAGAGCCCACAGAGAGAGTTAGAGAGAGAGGGAGAGAGGGAGAGAGGATGTCTGGTCTATGTGTTGTTTGGTCAGTGCTAGCTCTTATATCTTCTGAGATCGACGCGTTCATACATACGGAGGACGGACGGACAGACAGACAGACGGACAGGACCAAATGGACTCAGCTCGTCGCCCTGATCCGCCACCTTCAGCCTGTTACATACATTTCAACAAAACCATTATACCCTGATTTCCCATTATACCCTGATTTCAATGGGTTCCGTGTATAAAAAGCAATTGTTAAAGACACAGCGAACCACGGATAAAACCTTGCACAGATATATAGATATTGGCAAATATCAACCGACCGCAATTATGTGAAGCTTTAATAAAATGATTTAATTGATAAAACAAGCAAATTTGCTGAACACGTCTGTTAACTCTCACTGAGAACAATCTCTTCAATGTTATAATCATGAAACTGTTATTAAGTTCCTATAGTACGTCACACTGCGGTTCATGTGTGTTTATGCGTGCGTGCCTATGTGTGTATTTTTTGTGTAAGTAGAAAGAAGCGAAGAATCATTGAAATATCAGTTTCCGCAGGGTTCAAGGGATTTCGTAGTCGAGCAGATCTTTCTTACATGTTTATTCTTCTTATTCTTCTGCTATTGAACTTTCCTCGATTGATAGTCTCTCTTTTACTTTCGAAATAATTTTGAAGAGCCTAAAAATCTTATCACCATTATGAAATTTTTTTTTTAGATCTTGCAGCCTCTTTTGAACGAGGTCAATGTAGATTAGTACTTTATTCCAAAGTCCCTGAAAAATCAAGAAAAAGGTGCAAGGAAACTTTTGATCGTTCCTAAAAAAGTGACTATCGTTACAATATGATTTGCTGCATGTACACCGACTGAGTTGAGTGAGTGATTGTCAAAGTTTTCAAACAAGTAAGAACATTGCAGTCGGGCGTTACCGACGGCGGAATAGTCATTCACATCCCTTCAGCAATTTAGTAGTTAAGTTTAGCTCTAATACTCCAGAAACATCAATTATTCCCGATATGCCATGCCCCTAAAGAGACATAAAAATTATTTTTGGGTTATCGATAGAGGAGGTTACTAGTAACTTAACTATCCAAATTTTAAGTTTCTAGCTATTATACTTTAGGAGAACATATATCTATCGAAGCTGTTCGGTCTTGGGTGGTCAGCCCAAGTATACAGATATACAATATTTGAGGTGTCTAGCATCAATAGTGTTCAAAATATGGCAGACGGACAGACGGGCGGACAGCAAGATGGACATTGGACAAAACCAATATACTAATTCACTTTCGGGAATGAGTATAATAATTCACGTCTATTAATTTCTGTCTGTAGCCGACAATCTTGAAAAATATTTTATAGTTCTTTAAATGTTCCAAAATAATATTCAGCATTCCCTCAGCATTTTTTGCGATAATTTCAATAAAGCCTAGAAAGGTTTCGGTCATCTGTATTTTTACCCTGAACCCATTTTCAATGGGAAATCAGGGTATCATGGTTTTGTTAAAAGTATGTAACAGGCAGAAGGAGGCGTGGCAGACCCCTCAAAGTATATATATTCTTGATCAGGGCGACGAGCTGAGTCGATTTGGCCTTGTCCGTTTGTCTGTCTGTCCGTATGTATGAACGCGTCGATCTCAGAAGATATAAGAGCTAGAAACTGAAATTTTATTCCCTAGGGCCGTTTATATCACGCGCATATCGAGTTTTTCTCCCCAAATCGATAACTACTCCTGATATTTTACTATCGACTAAAATCTTATCGAAAACTAGTTATTTAATTATGTATATCTCCTACACCTTTAGAGCTACAGTCTCCAAACTTTTAAAGTAGACTATATGTATATTAACTAATTTCGGGTTTTTTGTAAGTTAGCCCCCATCCAACCGATCCACACCCTCACCCACATATTTGTAAAAGGCGTGTTTCGAATACTCACAATTTGGCTGGTTGCCAACTTAAAACAGAATTTGAATTGCTTCCATCCTAATTTATCATCTAGGCGATCTGAAAGATTCTCTATTGTAGATATGTATGTAGGTATGTCCAAAATAAGCTTTTCAAGATTTCGTTTAATCGTGCTGCGTTTACTGAAGACGTCCATTTCACAGAAGGTGCTTCTTAAAAGTATAATGAATTAAAAAGTAGTTAGATATATTTAAAATGAATAAACATATATTATTATATTTTGCATACTTTTTGGCTTTTATTATTTCCAGCGCAGTAGTGATGCGTCCACAAATATCACGCATATTTTTAACTCCGTACATATAGAGAACAAATTTTAGATCAGATTCTACATAGCCGAAGCGTTGCTCGGAATGATTTTCATAGAGTGCTGTGCCAAAAGGTGGACAATGGCGTGGCCGCGGCGATAATATCGTTTCGTTAACAAATCCCATCTGCATGGCAATATCATTGTTCATATGTTCCTGTTCCTGCGATTCATCAATATGATTGCATTTGAAGTTCTGTGAAAAAACAATAGAAATAAACTATAAAACAAACAACAATAAAATTTCCAAATTCCTGAACGTCGCAGCAGTCAATAATTTCTCTTGGAATAAGCTTCCTTATGTTTATTCTCTCTTTTGATATTACGCTAGTATTTATGTGTAGTTCACTTATGCACTTAACACACAAGGTTAACGCGTGCAAAGTATAGCAGTCCCACAAAACTTTGTAGTTGCACAAGCTCTTACTTTTATTGTTATAATTTTGGCTAAAGATCCCATGAAGCATATGTACATACATATGTCGGATATTTCTGCAGATTAGATTATTTTGTGGAGTGCAGCGTGTTCCTGCACTGTTGCCCTTCTTCCTCTTGCTAATCAACTGTCCGATTTTCACTAGTACGTTCGATTACATCCATCGTAACCAACTGGCAACCTCGTCAGGACCACACTCGATATTAGTGTTAATTAACATCTCACTCTATCAATATTACCACTAACCAGAGAACACATAGACCGGACAAGTAGTGTAAAGCGTTTTGCACACCTTTTTTCGGGAGTTATCTCCCAGACACTTCGTATTTGCTCGGCTCCTCACTTTTTGGGTTCGGGCTACGAAAAAATACGAAAGCACAATCATTTCGCTTCATGCGCTCGGCCGAGATGGTCGACTGTTGAACAAAAGATCCCTCTGCGCTGAATGTTTTCCTTGCTCTCTCTCTCTCTCACGATGCTCTCTGCTCTCTCAAATATGTATATGCATGTATGCATCTGAGCACAAGCAGCGCTCACAAAAATTGAAATTTCTTCGCAGCGAGAACCCATGCCTTCCCTTCTGTGTGAAGAGTATACCGAACTTTTCAAAGCGTTTGCCATGCGTTTTCGTTATTATTTGTGGGAAGGGTATGAAAGGGTTGGTGCGCATAATTAAAATGTTTTCGCGACGAGCATGCATACACACACAGTATGCTGCATGTACTATGAACATTTGTATGTCTGTGTGCGAAGCTCTTTCTGCTTGTAGCAATTTTAAATCCCAGCATTTGCATTTGGTCGATCTTGTGAAGTGCTCACATACATATGTATGTATGTATGATTGTGTGTACGCATGGGAGGCGAGGCTCACAATTTTGGGATATAACTTGTATAACTGTGTGCCTTTACATGTGCGTGTGTGTATGTGTTTGTATGTATGCATGGAAGATGAACATTGGCGTATGCCTCCCTCAACTTAGAATGGTGTGAACGATTTTGGGTTTACCTGATTAATCCCAGTGAGCAAAATAGGATGTGTTTTTTTAACCCTTGCACTTGTGCATACATATGCAGGTCAATTTGACACATTTTTAAAAAGATGAATACGTAAATAGGTCAAATTGATCATTTTTACAAAAATTTGGATTAATCAGGTACCACATTTTTAAAAAACATTCATCTGATAGGCAAACCCACGATCATTGAATCAAATCAGGTACTTAAACAAAAGCGCGCCTCTTCAATTAAAACCCAAAATCGTTCACACTATTCTATGTTGAGGGAGGCACACGCCAATGTTCATCTCCCAAACATACAAACAAAGATATTACCACTAACCAGAGAACACATAGACCGGACACGTAGTGTAAAGCGTTTTGCACACTTTTTTTTCGAACGTTAACACCCCAGATAACTTTGTACTCGCTCGGCTCCTCACTTTTAGGTTTGGGTTACTAAAATATACGAAAGCACAATCATTTCGCTTCATGCGCTCGACCGAGATGGTCAAATGTTGAACAAAAGATCCCTCTATGCTCAATGTTTCCCTTGCTCTCTCTCTCTCTCGATGCTCTCTGCTCTCTTAAATGTGTATATGTATGTATGCATGTGAGGCTCACATTGTGAGCACAAGCAGCAGCTCACGAAAATTGAAATTTCTTCGCAGCAAGAACCCATGTCTTCCCTTTTGTGTGAAGAGTATACCGAACTTTTCAAACCGTTTGCCATGCGTTTTCGTTAGTATTTGTGGGAAGGGTATGAAAGGGTTGGTGCGCATAATGAAAATGTTTTCGCGACGAGCATGCACACACACACTGTCCCTTGCTACATGTACTATGTACTGCATGTGAGCACAAGTAGCGCTCACAAAAATTGAAATTTCTTCGCAGCGAGAACCCATGCCTTCCCTTCTGTGTGAAGAGTATACCGAACTTTTCAAAGCGTTTGCCATGCGTTTTCGTTATTATTTGTGGGAAGGGTATGAAAGGGTTGGTGCGCATAATGAAAATGTTTTTGCGACGAGCATGCACACACACTTACAGTATGCTACATGTACTATGAGCATTTGTATGCCTGTGTGCAAAGCCCTTGCTGGCTATAGCAATTTGAAATCCTAGCATTTGCATTTGGTTGATCTTGTGAAGTGCTCACACTTACATAAATATGTTTGATTGTGTGTACGCAGGGGTCGCGATGCTCACAAATGATGGGGTAATCATTGTAGAAGCAGTTCAGTGCCTTTATATGTATGTGCGTGTGTGTATGTTTATAAGTGTATGCATGCGACATGAGCATTGACGTGTACCTACGACAACTTAGAATTGTGTGAACGATTTTGGGTTTGACCGGAAGAGGCGCGCTTATATTTAAGTAGATGACTTTATTTCAATGATCGTGGGTCTGCCTATCAGAATGATTTTTTTTTAAATGTAGTACCTGGTTAATCCCAGTGGGCAAATTGGAATGCGATTTTCGATCCCTTGTACCTGCACATAAATAATAACGAAAACGCATGGCTAACGGTTTGAAAAGTTCGGTATACTCTTCACACAGAAGGGAAGGCATGGGTTCTCGCTGCGAAGAAATTTCAATTTTCGTGAGCTGCTGCTTGTGCTCACAATGTGAGCCTCACATGCATACATACATATACACATTTGAGAGAGCAGAGAGCATCGAGAGAGAGAGAGAGCAAGGGAAACATTGAGCATAGAGGGATCTTTTGTTCAACATTTGACCATCTCGGTCGAGCGCATGAAGCGAAATGATTGTGCTTTCGTATATTTTAGTAACCCAAACCTAAAAGTGAGGAGCCGAGCGAATACGAAGTTGTCTGGGGTGTTAACGCTCGAAAAAAAAGTGTGCAAAACGCTTTACACTACGTGTCCGGTCTATGTGTTCTCTGGTTAGTGATATTACCCAATACTATGCATAAACGGATATATCGATAAGATATTCTATTCGAGTAATACTGTCATCTCCGACACATACATACATTCTTGATCTGGACGACGAGCTGAGTCGATTTAACTCTGTCCGTATGTTTGATTTCAGAAGATCTAAGGACTAAATTTGTCAAATATTTCATAGAATATGTAGATCATATGCTGAAAGTTAGTCTTTCGACGAAACTTATTTGAGAGAACAGAGAGCATTGAGAGAGAGAGAGAGCAGGGAAGCATTGAGCATAGAGGAATCTTTTGTTCAGCAGCCGACCATATCGGTCGAGCGCAGGAAGCGAAATGATTGTGCTTTCGTATATTTTCGTAGCCCGAACCTAAAAGTGAGGAGCCGAGCATATACGAAGTTATGTAGGACTCAACGCGTGTGCAAAACGCTTTACACTACGTGTCTGGTCTATGTGTTCTCTGGTTAGTTTTAGTGTCTTCACACAGAAGAGAAGAAACACGAGAGAGAGAGAGAGAGAGAAATGGAAACATTGACCATCTCGGTCGAGCGCATGAAGCGAAATGAGTGTGCTTTTGTATATTTTCGTAGGCCGAATATAAAAGTGAGGAGCCGAGCATATACGAAGTTGTCTGTGGTGCTAATGCTCGAAAAACAGTGTGCAAACAGTTTTACACTACTTGTCTGGTCTATGTGTTCTATTATGGTTAGTGACGGTACGAGTTAATCATATTATCTCGATTTTCTTTTTATCGAAAATAATCGATACATTGATTTTTTTATACCCTGAACTAGGGACACGAAAAACGTATCGATATTTTCGGTATCGGAAACATTGGGGCGATGATAGCGATACTTTTTACTCGATATTTTGGTTTCGATATTTTTACTTATCAAGTATCTCTAGAGCCATATCGAGTAAAGAAAAATAAGCGGGATCACGTCAAGCTCGCCAGCCAATCTGCGCGTAATTTGAGACTCCGTTAGTTGAATCATTAAAAAAAAGTTAAAACAGTGAATTATTATCGAAGTAAATATAATTTACAGTTAAAGTAAGTAATAAAGCAATTATTCTATGCAGTTTATTGAAATATATGTCTTTAAAAGAATGCCACAAAGCCGCAGTAGTGTTTGGCAGTACTTCACCAGAATACGCAAAGACGAGGTGAAGTGCAAAATTAGCTTCAAAACTCTTAAATCATCAGGAAACACCTCACACATGCATAAGCATATAAAGAGCCACCCCGAAGTGAGGTAAGTAAATATTGTCATAAATATATATGTATTTATTTTATATTTTATATATTTTAGTGCAAAAGAAACTGGAAAAAAACTATCAACTTTTACAAGAGATCTTGATCCAATAAGTTCAAGTCATGAAACTGAGCCGCATAAGTATAAGTATTTTGAGACCACTAGAGAATGTTACCGATGGTGAATACCCTGAAGAACCAGATTAATAATGTACATGTGGATGTAGATGCGGACGACGGTGGTATGGCAGTCATACATGCCGTAAGGAAAGAAATAATTAAACAATTGGAACGCCGATTCGGATCCATCGAAGAAACCCACCTAATTGCGATAGCTTGTTTACTGGATCCAAGATTCAAAAATAGCCCTTCTAAAGCTTGTACGAAAGCAATTAATTTGCTAAGAAAATTTCTATTATCCAGCCCTAATTCTCTCTCCAGTGAGAATGAGAGTGATACTTCCATAGACTCAGCAAACAATCTTTGGAGTGATTATAAGAAGTGGACGCACGCAGGGAAGCAGACCAAAAAAACAAGATCTACAGTGAACGATGACGAAGTAGGTCGCTACCTGTCTACCCACGTTTTACCACTTTCCATCGACCCTTTAAAACAATGGGGTGATATGAAAGTAGTTTATCCCAAACTATACAACTTGGCTCAAACGTATTTGGGAATTCCCGCGACGTCCGTGCCCTCTGAGCGCCTTTTCTCCAAAGCTGGAAGTACCATAACCAAACCTCGTAGCCGACTGTCACCCAAAAGGCTTGAAAAACTTCTTTTTTTAGGCGATTGTGCAGAGGAGGAATGGAATATATAACTTAACATAACTTCATTGTACTATGTAATAATTGAAAATTTTCTTGTAACTTTTACTTTTTAATTTAAAAAACATGAAATATATCCTAGATTTAATAAACATTTCATCCAAATATAAATACCCGATACCTTGCAACATCGATACTTTTGATTTGATATTTTTATAAGTACGATGCTTTTCTTTTGATGCTTCTTATGAGTACATGATCGATACTTTGCATTCGATATCGTGTCCCTACCCATGCCTACACACATGCACATACACACACGCACATATAAAGGCACACAGGTATACAAATAGCTCTACAAGTGATATCCCATAATTTGTTAGCGTCCCCTGCGTACACTCAATCGAACATACATATATATGTAAGTGTGAGCACTCCACAAGATCGACCAAATGCAAATGCTGGGCTTTAAAATTACTACAGGCAACCAGAGCTTCGCACACAGGGATACAAATGCTCATAGTACATGTAGCAAAGGACAGTGTGTGTGCGTGCATGCTCAACACGAAAACATTTTCATTATGACCACCAACGCTTTTACACCCTTCCCACAAATAATAACGAAAACGCAAATATTTTGTACGAGCTTGGCAAACGGTTTGAAGAGTTCGATATACTCTTGACACAGATGGGAAGAAACGGAGGTCTAACGCGAAGAAATTTCAATTTTCGTGAGCTGTTGCTTGTGCTTACATGCATACATATACATACATACATATACATATTTGAGAGGGCAGAGAGCGTTGAGAGAGAGAGACCAAGGGAAACATTGAGCATAGAGGCATCTTTTGTTCAACCTTTGACCATCTCGATCGAGCGCATGAAGCGAAAGGATTGCGCTTTCAGAGCCCGACGTAAAAGTGAAGAGCAGAGCAAATACGAAGTGGTCTGGGAGATTACGCTCGAAAAAAGAGATTACACTACGTGTCCGGTCTATGTGTTCTCTGTTTAGTTCTAGTACAAAGGGGCGTGGTATCCAAAATCTGTAATTTTAAATTCAATAAATCTGAGTTGTAATAGTATTCAACTTATGCTAAAAAGGATATCGGATATGTTATCCGATAAAAAAAATTATAAACTGGCACTGCGTATAGTAGACTCGCCTATACATACATACAAAATTTCAATAGCTCATATACACTCATGATGAAAATAATAGATACACCCCTTAAAATTTAACCTTTTTTCAGTTTAGTTTAGCAAAACATTTTTTCTACTGCCCTTAACATGAAAATTTAAATGCACATTTCTGAATTAGGTATATATCAATAAAAGTAAGTAAATTTGGAAAAAAAAAATAATTTTATCAAAAGTTACAAACAAATAAAAGAAAATGGAGCTTTTTGTGCTTGACGAAAATAATAGGTACACTTTACTTTCGTAAGATGTATATTATTTTTTGATTTTCAAATCATTCAAAATCTTTTGCTATTCTATTTTTGGATCAATATCCTGTATATCCTTTTTTATTTTCAAGCAAATTTTTTATCTGATTGGACATACTCCTAATTAAAGCTTGGCAGGTCTCATTCGTAATCTTCCTCCAGGTTTCTTGGACACACTCCATTATTTGGCGTTTATTGTCACACTTTTTCTTTACCATCTGCTTTTTCAATGCACTACACACGTTTTCGGTTGGATTCAGATCAGGAGAATGTCTGGGCCAAGCGAGACAGGGTGACCGCGCCGGACCAAACGAAAAATACCAATTTGGTCTCAAAAATATACTATAAAATACTATTTCATATTTTACAAAATACCACTATAAATACCATAACAAATAAATCGTCTGGAAATTCAAATTATAATAAAATAGTAACTGACTTATATAGAAAAAATAAGGGTTTTCCCATTGTAAAAAATGGTTGTTGTTTATTTCATTTTAAAAAATTAATAATATTTCAGTCCAACATAAAACTAGAACAATATGCATTCGTATTCAATTCCATATTCCATTATATATTTAAAGTCTTAAAATTAATTAAATGCTTAAAATTCATTTTTTAACATTTTCTTAAAATAAAATAGTAAAGGAACTTCTTTGTTCAGTCTTGCTAGTTTCTCTTAAGATCATTTAATTATATTTACTAGCCTTCTTCGTCAGAGCAGCTTAAATTCAATTTGTTGAAATCTTTACATAACACTTGTTCACTGGGCTTAAAATTATTGCACCCATTTTCGCGCAATGATTATTGTACATGTAATATATGTGATATATTTACATTTTTAAAGCGGTTTCGATTTTTCGTTTTGATTAAATTAATTTGAGAGAATATGCGTTCACACGACGGATTAGAATCGGGCAAAATTATTAAATCTTTTTTTTTTGTGTGAGCCGCATGCTGCTTAAGTGACGCCAGCCTACTCAAAATGTTAGTCTGGCACGCTTTGCAGTGCGCATCCATATTATTAGCGCTCCTTCCCAGCCATTTTTCATTTTTCGGCATAGTCTCCCACTCAGCTCTATATTTTTGCTTATTGCTCATGTTTCCTATTTATTTGTTTTAAAATTAAGCAAGTCTTAAGCATTAAGCATTCGATTCATTAAGACTTAAATACCATATACCGAAAATACCATATAATACCATAAAATCGAAGAAAAATGCTACTAAATACCTATATTAAAATACTTTTGAGCAAAATCGGAGCTGATAAAATACCAAAAAGTATTTAAAATACCATATTCGGTCACCCTGAAGCGAGAAGTGACACTCTACTAACCTCGAGCCAAGTTTATACTATTGTAGACGAGTGTCTCGGACCGTTATTTTGTTGACAAACCCAGCGCAGAGGCATGTTATCCTCAGCATATGGTAACATTATATTTTTGAGAATATCCCTGTAGTCTGCTATTCTCATAACGTCAGATATTAGGAAAATCAGACGAAACAGAAGTAGCCCCACACCATAATGTTTCCACCGACATGCTTCACTATTTTTTTTTTTTTTGTGTAGCGAAGATCGAATTCTTTACTTGTAAGGAATCTTACATGTCTGGAATAGTCATTTCTATAATGGCAAATTTTGGATTCGTCGTTAAATAGGATAATATGCCACTTTTTTTGAGTTTCAGATCCTTCCCAAAATTTTGCATCATCATAAAATTTTTGGTGCGCATCAATGGAACCATTTTTTCGATACGACCTGGTAGTTTAGCCATATGTAGCCATCTCCTAATTGAAGAAGCATATCTTCTGAGATCTCGGCGATGCTTCCTTTTGCCTGTTACATACATACATTTTTACAAAAACAATATACCCTGATTTCCCATTTTCAATGGGTTCATTGTAGGGCTATCGAATATTTTAAAAATATCGTATCGATGATATTTTAACTTTTGAAAAATATCAATATTATGTTTGATATGCAACTTTAAAAATATCGATATATTAATATTTTTCGATTTATGTCAGAATAATACGTTTTCACCATATTCAATATCTGTACATTCGCATTTAGTTCATTTATCACAGGAGTGACCAACGCAAGTATATAACAAGTAAGAAGGCTCCAGTCGAGACTGCTCGACTAGGAGATACCCTGAACCCTCTAAGCTGATATTCTAATCATTCTGCACTTCTTTTATGCATACACATGCATACACATGCATCCACACGCACGCATAAGCCTGCGCTCTGCTAACTGCGCAGTAAGCAGCGACTGCGCTTGGGCTGCGCTGCAGTGTGGCCAATATTATGAGAATTTATTTGTTAAATAATTTCTTTTGTAGACATACGATCTTAATGAAACTTTTAGAGCGTAATCATATGGTAAATATGTGTGTACATTCCAAAGCACAAGTCTCTAGTACTTGAAATGCGTTTTTTACAAATTGGGGGAGAAGGGGGCGTGGTATCCAAAATCTGTAAATTACAAAATCTTTGTATCAATTAACTTTATATTCAACGCAAATTTGAAGACTCCAGGTCTAAAAGTGTTCAAACTAGGCTAAAAAAAAAACAAAATCATTTTTTCGATTATTCTCGATAAAAAAGTTATCGGATGATTTATCGAAAAAATAAAGCAAACTCGTACTGCGTATGGTACACACGAGTATGCATGCCGAATTTCTCTCTAGCTCTTATAACTTCTGAGATCGACGCACTCATACGGACGGACGGACGGACAGACGGACAGGGCTATATCGACTCAGCTCGTCACGCTGATCAAGAATATATATACTTTGTGGGGTCTGCCACGCCTCCTTCTGCCCGTTATATACTTTTTCACAAAACCATTATACCCTGATTTCCCATTTTCAATGGGTTCAGGGTATAAAAAACAAGTAAGAAAGCTCTAGTCGAGACTGCTCGACTACGAGATCCCCTAAACCCTTCGAGCAACTGATATTTCAATAATTATTCGCATAAACACGCATTGGCTGCAGTGCACTATAGGAAAAAACCCAAAACTTTTGGCATAAATACAATTTTTTTTTTTTTTTAATTTTTAAATTTTTTTTTTATATTCCAATAATAAATATCTTAACTAATATAAAGCGAATTTTTAAAAAATTGTATGGACTGTCCCTACTATATAACGCTGGGCTGCAAGTCACCTGACCCAAAATTGCTTTATATGCAAAAAAAAAAAAAGCACGGGAAAAATTGTGCAACATTCAAGTTTAGTACTGCGGTAAATAAAAAGAAAACTTATAACTTTAAAAATGGAAAACATTACTGATGGTATGTGCAATAAATTATCAATTCAAATTTTTGAGTACATTTGTTTAATTGTCTAATTGTTTAATGTTTTGTTGGTGTGTATTTTAGCTAAAAAATAACAAAATAGTTCGTGTTTCGTGGAACAAAACTTACAAATAGAGGAAAGTAGTGATGAAGTTTAATTGCAAACGTGATGTCTGAACCCTCTATTATCAGAGACTATTAACCGTTTTTGCTCCTTTTTGCTCCATTTCGAAAAAATAACGTTTTTATAGCTAAGTATGAGTTTAAGCGCTCAGAGCTTCTAGACGTATGGGCAAGCAATAATCGCCAAGCAGACGCGGTGAAATTGTTTATGGTGAAAAAATTAATAATAATGTGGATCAAAATGTAGAAAACAGTATTTCTACCCAAGTTGCCCAGTTTATTGCTTTTGTTAAAAGATAATTGCCCAGATGTAACCGTAATCTGCATAGATTCAAAACAACACATTCACGGTCGGTCGAGGGCAAAATATTTATCAACTTAAAAGAAGTTATGTCCTCGCAAGATAAAGCTGGCCGTAATGAACTTACTTATGAAGAAGCAGGCAGTCGGCTGAAGAGAAAATTAGCTTCTGATCTTGCAAGTCAAAAAGAACACGCAACCCAACTGGTTATACATGCTGCATCGGTTTCAGCAAAAAAATGCTAAGAAAATGATACGGCATTCGCTCTACGAAAAACAATGCACAGTGAGAATGCAAGTGATATAAGAAAGAAAATAGAAGCCAATTTACCAACTTCTATAGAACCATCTGAAGCATTGGTTTTTCTTATTGAAAACGGGCTAACAAAAGAGCAGTATGGAAACATTAAGTTGATCTGTAAACAACACGGATGTGATATTTTCCCTTCTTATTTGGAAGTAGTGAAAGCTAAGTTGAAATGCAGGCCAAATGGAATATCGATTTGTGAAAAAAAAGCGGAAGTGCCTTTGCAGAGCTTACTAAATCATACAACAGATCGTATTCTAAAACTGCAAGAGGATTTTTTAGATGTAGTTCCCAGTGCAACGCACTATAAATTAATAGTGAGCTACGGCTTCGATGGATCAACTGGGCAAAGCAGTTATAAGCAATATTTTCAGAGTGATCATTCCCTTTTTGTTTCTACAATAATTCCCCTAAAATTAACGGATGAACATAACCGAATAATTTGGCTCAATAGAACACCGCAGTCCATTAAATTTTGTCGACCTTTGAAGATCGAATTTGTAAGGAAACCACAGCCCTTATATTGAATGAAAAAAAATATTTGGAGGAACAAATAAGAGATCTTAGTGAGCATAAATATATATAAGTTAAGACTTTCGACAATCTAAGGAGGCTGGAGAGTCCAGTCAGACATTCAAGGGGAGAACCTAACCAGTTGAACAGATTTAGTTCAGTTCATATTCGGACTAGAGAGAGTTTAGACCTATTGTTCCAAATTATATAATTATATATATTATTTCATTGAACACAAAGTTGTTATATATTCACAAGAACCCAACACAGCGTCCCCCAATCACTAGTATCTAGTATGGGAGCGCCTAACTGGCGCCCGAGCAGGGACCCACATTCTTCACGGAAGTAAAGGGAAATGGTGACGTGTCAATAATTCTATAAAAATTACTTATTAAAAAAGCAAGTAAAATAAATTGTTCCAATCCAATTGGGCAATTGTTGGCAAAATTACGAAGTACTTCTGCGATTTGCAAAGTAATGAGGTGAAAGTCCTTGCCATAACATAATACAATAAATAATAACATAATTTCTAGCAAGTGTTGGTGCACTAGATAATTCTATAACATAAAAGAAATCGTGGCTAAATGGTGGTATTGGCAATACCTAGGTTCAAATCCGTGCCGAGACGACTCTTAAAACGAAAATACAAGAAATTTGCAGGCATAATGGTGGTACGAGATTGATTCTCGTATCGAGGTTCAAATCCTTGCCGTAAGACAAATGTCATAAAAAATAAACGTCACAATTTCCACCTGTGTTGAATGATGGGTTTCCGTATAAATTAAAAGAAATCTAGTGGTCAAAGTTAAGTTTAAAGCACTAACTATATAAAAAAACAAGTAAGAACGTTGCAGTCGGACGTTACCGACTGCGGAATACTCATTCACATCCCATCAACAATTTAGTAGTTAAGTTTCGCTCTAATACTGAAGAATATACAGGGTTTTCCGATTTGCCACGCCCCAATTGGGCGTAGACACCTCATTTTTGGTCAGTTTTTAGAAAGAGATAACGGTACCCTAACTGCAAAGTTTGAATGCTTACCCTCAAAAAATGTGAAAATTACAGGGTATTTTTCGATATGCCACGCCCCTAAAGAGGCGTAAAAATTATTTTTGGGGAATCGGTAGAGGAGGCTACCAGTAACTCAACTATCCAAATTTGAAGCTTCTAGCTATTATACTTTAGGAGATATAAACTTTTGCGGTTTTGCACGCGCCCTGTGGGCGGACACATATCCGACAAAACTTTTTGGTCTTGGGTGATCAGTCCGAGTATATATACAAAATTTGAGGTCTCTGCCATCAATAGTGTCCAAAATATAGGAGAATTTAAAAAATCACTATATCTTCAGGTCCGATTTGCCACGCCCCCAATGGGCGTAGATATATCCGCCATAGCTCGTGATCTTGGGTGGTCAACGCGGACCTACATACTAAATTTCAGCTTTCTAGCTCTTTAGCTAATATGATTTCTGGTATATCGGAAAATGCATTTTCCGATTTGCCACGCCCCTAGTGGGCGGATCGGGAAAATTTTAACACTTTATAAATCGGAGATATACACGAGTATGTGTTCCAAATTTCAAGTCTCTGGCTTCAATAGCGCCGAAATAGATTGCGTTCATACGGACAGACGGACGGACAGCAAGACGGACATTGCACAAAACCAATATACTGATTCACTTTCGTGAATGAGTATAATTAAAAGGCGGTTGTCTGGAAATCTCTAATCAACAAGCAAAGCATAAATATGCAAAAATAAAAACATGAATTGCAGAGACCTTCTATTCGATCGTGGAATAACCCTTACCCTACTAGGTCTTAGAACCAAAGAGGAATACTTTGGGCTTCCCTTTCGGAAGAGAATAAGTCTGGCAACAATATATAAAAGAAAAAAGTAAAATAAATAAATAAATGAAACGAAAGCAAGAGAGAGACCAGATGATTGTGGAACCACCCTCACCCAAGTAGGTCTTACACCAAAAAGGATCCTGAGGGCTTCCCAAGCCATATAAAATAATAAAAACTGTTTGCCGGTTCGGTAACAAAAGATAATGCAACTAGTAATTGGTAATTTAAGTAATTCTATAACAGACAACGCAATAACACACGTGGTAATACACACACGTAATTCAATGAAATAATATAAAAGAAATAATATTCACGTCAACTATTTAAAAAAGGTGTTACGACCATGTGAGAGCATTACTAATATATTTATCTCCACAGGAAGCAATTCTACGAGACGATTATTAATATTTTCTTATCTCCACTGGAAACGGTAAATAGCAGCAGCTTGGAAACAATGAAAAGCTGATTTAATGTAAAAAATTAGATCGGTAACACAGTAGGCATCGAATTGAATAGTAAGTAAGTTTTCCGACATTGAAATAATTTAGTTCGGAACGTTGCAAGGGCTGAGCGCGGCAATAACTGTGTTAGCCGATCAATTTTCGAGTCTTAAGGAAGATTTGAAGCAATTGAATAGGAAAGTGGATCGTTTGGAAAAGGAGGATACTAATCAGTCTCTCATAGAGGAACAAACCTCACTGGCCCGTCCACGTTCGGAGCTTGAATTAAATGAAATTTCGTCATTGCCGGACTGTGTTAAAGTGTTGCCCACATTTGAGGGAAACCCTTCACAATACCCTCGTGGGTAGACAGGATCGAGTCCGTACTTGAAGATTATTCTATTATCAAGGAAAGACCTCTATATCGCTCAATAATTTTACATATACGAGTAATTGGAAATGCCGATGTTTCACTGCCTTAAAGGCAAGCGAACAATGAGTCGTAGTATTGTCCGCATTAATAGAATCATTTAGAGATAGAGCTTTAGATGTTTTCATAAGGGGACTAAACGGTGACCTACCGAGGATGTCAACAGTTAGCAAACCTAAAAATTTACCGGGAGCTTATGCCATTTGTGTGAATTTACAGAATATTTCATTAAGAAGTAATGGTGTACAAGGGACATATATGTCTCGTGGAATTAATGATTATCAAACTGGAAAAATTCTTCATAATTCAGACTTAAGAAAATAGGAAAAAAAAAGGAAAATGCACATTTAATTATATTGTAATAATCCTCTTTTAACTTCCTTGACTTCCTAGCACCCATAGCACATTTAATTATATTGCAATAATCTTCTTTTAGCTTCCTTAACAGCATTTTACACGTGGTATATCCATCCTAGTTTCGATCATTCATGGTAATAGGGATTTCCGAGATGCCAGAGGCAATGAAATAAATGCGCTTACAATGTTGGATGTATTGTCATAACCAGAAATGAATACTACTAATGTATGGAACTATGAATGCTTTGAATTAACTTGAAGGTGGATATCGATGGCCCTCTTTATGCTAATTTATGGACTCTGGAACTATCGACTATGGATAATAAATTTATATTGGATAAATATCATTATATTGGGCAATTTATATTGGATAATTATCATTATATTGGACAATTTATATTGGATGAATATCGTTATAATGGACATATGCACCCTGATCTGCGGGACGCAGATATTTAGATGGGGAAGAGTTAAGACTTTCGACAATCTAAGGAGGCTGGAGAGTCCAGTCAGACATTCAAGGGGAGAACCTAACCAGTTGAACAGATTTAGTTCAGTTTATATTCGGACTAGAGAGAGCTTAGACCTATTGTTCCAAATTATATAAAATATATTATTTCATTGAACACAAAGTTGTTATATATTCACAAGAACCCAACACAGCGTCCCCTAGTACTCTAGTATGGGAGCGCTTAACTTATATAATAACAACACAATATATATCCAGTATGAAATGCATGTGACCCTTATTGACGGAAAGATTTTGAATATTGTAACGGGTACAAATTCGTGCCAATCATGCCCACTATGCGGGGCGAAACCAAAACAATTGTTAGAGATAGCTGATTTTATCTCAGCGTGTTTTAAGTGAATGAAAAAGTCCTAAGTATGGATTAAGCCCACTTCATGCTTGGATAAGATTTTTAGAGTTTGTGTTAAGAATATCTTATAAAAATGATTTAAAGAAATGGCGCATAAAGGATGCAGATAAAAATCAAGTCGCAGCACGGAAGCAACATATACAAGAAAAGTTATGTTTGGAAATGGGTCTTATAGTGGATAAACCCAAACAGAACGGTAGTGATAGCAGTAATGATGGAAACACCGCCCGAAGAGCGTTTTCAGATCCTAGAAAGTTATCTGATATACTGAATCTTAATTATGAAGTTATCAGGAACTTTCATATAATATTAATTGCTATCTCCTCTGAACACTATAGAAAATAGCATAGCTTGCAAAAAACTGTTAACACTTTTTCGTTGTCTGCAAAAAAGTGTCTTTCAGTGACACAGTCAAAAAAACTCAGACAAAAAGTGTTTTTGTCGCGTCTGGCTTAGCTCTCTCGCGCTCTGAGGGAGATAGTTGTGTCTGTTTTCGTTTCCTCAAGTCAAACACTGATCGTTTGCTTGAGTTAAAGAAGTAACGGTAAGTTGCGTTTGTATGGGTAATCACGCGCGATTGCTGCGTTCTTTTTGTATGTATGTATGCGTGTATTTACATGCACACGAAGGCAAAAACATTTTCTGCTGAGTTTGTTAGTCAAAGTGTTTTTTGCTGAGAAGCTTTGTGTGAGGGAAAATCGTGTTAGTTTTACGCGACACTCATGTGAGAGCGTCACACGAATGAGTGATCCCATTGCGTCTGAGCGAAACAGATGCTAAAGAAAAAAGAGAGTGACGCTCAGAGAGAGACGTGTCTACACAATTTTTTTTGGGTATGATGCGAGAAAGAGAATAAACGAAAAAACGCTCAACTCTCATTTGCAAGCTCTGGAAAATAGCGATAAATTTAGTGTTCTCGGAGAAAACGCATCAGAAGCTCGAAACAAAATTTATAAAAATGACAGAAGGTCGTATGCCAGAAAAAGCACTAGGCTAAACAACATCACTGATGGTTTTCACATGGCATTAGATTCATCTGATCCGCTTTTGTCAAGTCTTTGTCTTAAAAAAAGACAGAAGCTTCACAAAAAATTAAAATTTCCAAGCGAAGTGATTGATCTATTTGTTCTGATTGAGCCTCTGCAAATCGCGCATTAAGATGATACAAATGAAACTGAAAGTTTAGAAGCTGAAGATGAGGATGAGGATGATGCAAACAATTTTGACCCGAATATCGAATTGGATGAAGAAAATTATGATTATGGATGTTAATTTTTTGAGTATGTGGTAATTATTGTAAAATAAAAATACAACAAAATTTGTTTCATATTTTTCTTCATTTTACAGGGTATAAACGGAATGATAATACACATTTTAATTTTTTCATTTTATAATAAGTTGTATACATTAATTTTTATCTGAACATATGTAATGTAAGATATATATAATATATTAAAAAAATGTATGTCTAAAGTACACATGATTTCATTAATGGGTAACAAGGAGGCGGGGAATAGGCGTGGTATAAGAAGTATATAAGAGGTATATAAGAACTTAATTGTTTAATAACTTTTGTTGTCGATAGACAATCTTCATGAAACTTTTAGATTATACATATAACAAAGATATGCATATATTTGCCAAAGTACAACTCTCTAGTATTTAAAATACGCTTATGTGGGTGAGGGGATGAATAAAATGGTGGGGGGGGTAAATTTTGACAAAAATCGAAACTTTACAAAGTACATACAAAACTATATTTAAAATTTGGCGACTCTAGCCTTAAAGATGTTGCAGATATAAATTTATTACTGGTTATCGATAACAATTTGAATCGACAAGTAACAAAAAACGGGACAAGTTTTAAAGCAAAACTTGATATACGCGTGGTACACACGGACCTAGGAAATAAAATTTAAGTCTCTAGCTCTTATATCTTCTGAGATCGACGCGTTCAAACATACGGACGTACAGGGTTAAATCGTTGCTCTGATCAAGAATGTACATACTTTGTGGGGTCGGCCAAGCCTCCTTCTGTCTGTTACATACTTTTAATAAAGCCATTATACCCTGATTTCCCATTTTCAATGGGTTTAGGGTATAACAAGTAAGAAGGCTCCAGTCGAGACTGCTCGACTAGGAGATACCCTGAACCCTCTAAGCTGATACTCTTATCATTCTGGACTTCTTTTATGCACACATACATACACATGCACTTATCAGCACGCGCTCTGCTAACTGCGCAGTAAGCAGCGACTGCGCTTGGGCTGCGCTGCAGTGTGGGCAATATTATGAGAATTTATTTGTTGAATAATTTCTTTTGTAGACCTTCGATCTTAATGAAACTTTCAGAGCGTAATCATATGGCTAAAATGTGTGTACATTCCAAAGCACAAGTCTCTAGTACTTGAAATGCGTTTTTTACAAATTGGGGGCGAATGGGGCGTGGTATCCAAAATCTGTAAATTACAAAATCTTTGTATCCATTAACTTTATATACAACGCAAATTTGAAGTCTCCAGGTCTAAAAGTGTTCAAATTAGGCTGAAAAAACAAAGTCGATTTTTCGATTATTCTCGATAAAAAAGTTATCGGATGATTTATCGAAAAAATAAAGCAATCTCGTACTGCCTATGGTATACACGAGTATGCATGCCAAATTTCAGCTCTCTAGCTCTTATATCTTCTGAGATCCTTTTGCTCATACGGACGGACGGACGGACGGAGGGACGGACGGACGGACGGACGGAGGGACGGACGGACGGACGGACAGACGGACAGGGCTATATCGACTCAGCTCGTCGTCCTGATCAAGAATATATATACTTTATGGGGTCTGCGATGATTCCTTCTGCCTGTTACATACTTTTCACAAAACCATTATACCCTGATTTCCCATTTTCAATGGGTTCAGGGTATAAAAATATCGCATGTATAAAGTTGTACTAATTGATAGGAATATTTGATTTAAGAGATTAAATTGTAAGTTAACATATGAATTTTAAACCTAATTTGTACAATAATAAATAATATTATATATAACTGTTGTATAATAACGAGAAACAATTTCCCCTTACCTTACAAATAGTTTCCATGGAATTTTTGATTTCTTCTATCACTGTAGTTAAAATCCGTAGAGTAATCTCAATCTAATAAAGGTGGTAGGTTTAGAAATTTAGATGTTAAATAATGGCACAGTTGCTTACTTCAGGTACAAGGTAGTTCACCAACTCTTCCTTTTCATTAATGTTTAGCCCAATAAATACTTCAAGAGTATTACGCAACAATTGCAGAACTTGCGATATAAATATTGGTATGCGAGATCGGACGAATCTTACAATCTCATTTTTCTGATAACGAGTAAGGTGGGTGGCATCATTTATAAAGATTTTGCAAAATTGCAACATCTTAACGCAGCCTTAAAAAAAAGTTTGAAAAAGAAACAAAAAAAATTGTTAATTATATATAAAAGTTAAGACTTTCGACAATCTAAGGAGGCTGGAGAGTCCAGTCAGACATTCAAGGGGAGAACCTAACCAGTTGAACAGATTTAGTTCAGTTCATATTCGGACTAGAGAGAGCTTAGACCTATTGTTCCAAATTATATAAAATATATTATTTCATTGAACACAAAGTTGTTATATATTCACAAGAACCCAACACAGCGTCTCCTAGTACTCTAGTGCGGGAGCGCTTAACTTATATATATATTACAAGTTTGTTGAAATTTGAAAAATTAGCAAATTATAATAAAAAGCAAATGAATTAACATTTAAAATTTGACTCTAGCTGTAAAGATTTTGGAGCTATTGTAATGAACCTTCGGTTTATCCCGAGTCTAAGCTGAGCTAGTTTCAGCTAAGCTCATGACGCTGGGAAACCCCTGCGTTAATAATTAGTCACTTGTGATTTTAAATTTGGGCGTATTGTATTTTTTTTTGAATTTATAAATTTACATTTCACTTAGTTTGCACTTATGAAAACTCGGCTCCTCAATGCACATCTGCTGAGTGCAGGCTCAGCGTACGCCGGCTGGGAGAGTGATTGTGCCAAAAGCACGCTAGGCTTGCTTGAGCGGACGTTAGGATTGGTCTCTGTAAGCTGCTGCGGTTCGCTCGGATATACAGGCCGCTCCTACCAGTTGACTCGCTCTCGGCACCCAGCTCTGTTTCACGTACCTCTCGTACGCACGGCTAGGTGAACTTACTCGCTCCTGTTTGCGCAGGCTCGCGTTGTCCTCGCCAGCACCAAATGTCCTCGTTGGTGACCGCTGACGATTCTGGGTTGCTTTTTGTCCTTTATTGGCGTTGAAAGGATTTCCTCTGGCTGTCCTTCGATGTCCTGTTAGTCCTAGCTCAATAATTGTCCTTCGATGCCCTTGGTTTCACTCGCGTTGACTTCGGCAATGTTCACTTTCGCTCGGTATTCGTTCCGCTCTCACTTTTGATCACTTATTACTCATCTGACTATATGTTACTCAACGTGTATGGAGCTGCCGGAGGCTTTTTATTGCCCAGCCCTAGGCCGTGCTTCGCGCTGTAACGGAGCCTGATTGGCTCTGCAGTGGGACCTTTCTGCCGCTCGTGCCCAAAAAAAAACGGCGTGATCTGGGGTGACGCCACTTTGCCGTCAAATTCCGTGGCAGCCGAAGTACCGTTACTGCCCTGCGAGTGAAAATGTTAAGTACTATCACCTGGACTCGAACGGCACCTCGGCGTGGCAGACCCCACAAAGTATATATATTTTTGATCAAGTTGACGAGCTGAGCCCCGTCCGTCTGTCCGTATGTTTGAACGCGTCGATTTCAGAAGATATAAGAGAGATTCTTGAATTTTTTTTTTAAATGACCGTAGCGCGGATTTCGAGTTTAACTTTAAAATTCGATAAATCATCCCGTTATGTTTTTATCGACTAAAAACATTCAAGTTCAAGTCAGATGCCACTATAGCTGATTGTGAATGATTTTTCATTTTTTAAATTTCTTAAATATTCAATATAATATGTAGATCATATGCTGAAAGTTTCATTAAATTCTGTTCAGTCAAAAATTAATAAAAAATAATCAAATATTTGGCAAATTAACAAACGCACTTGCAGCAGCTACAACAGCATCGTATGCGTGTGCACACATACATTCAAACTTCATCTAGAACACTCTTTGAATCACATCAGCTGTTAGTTTCGTTTAGTTTTGGTAGATGGCGCTGCAGCAGTGAATCTATTTCAGTGTTGCCAATGCAGCTTCGTAAAGCAAGGTGGGAGGGAGTGGTTAGGGAGCAGCGGCGTGACGCTCGATCGAAAAGTCGCGGGTTCGAATCCCGATCGCGCTATTGATGTTAATTATACTCATTCACGTAAGTGAATTAGTATATTGGTTTTGTGCAATGTCCGTCTTGCTGTCCGTCCGTCTGTCCGTCCGTCCGTCTGTCCGTATGAACGTAGTCTATTTCGGCGCTATTGAAGCTAGGGACTTGAAATTTGGAACACATTCTCCTGTATATCTGCGATTTATAAAGTGTTAAAATTTTCCCGATCCGCCCACTAGGGGCGTGGCAAATCGGAAAATGCATTTTCCGATATACCAGAAGTCATGTAGTTAAAGAGCTAGAAAGCTAAAATTTAGTATGTAGGTTCACATCGGCCACCCAAGATCAGGAGCTATGGCGAATATATCTGCCCGCGGGGGCGTGAAAAATAGGATAAAACTGTATCTCCTGAAGTTGTGAATCTAGAATGCTAAAATTTTGCATGTGCGCTGATGTTTCAATTCTATAAAGATGGGTGACATATATTAAATTATATATCTACGCCTACTAGGGGCGTGGCAAATCGGACCTGAAGATATTGTGATTTTTCGTATTCTGCTATATTTTAGGCACTTTTGATGCTAGAGACCTGAAATTTGGTATATATACGCGACCACCCAAGTCCAACGAACTATGGTAGATACATGTCCGCCCATAAAAAAAAGCTTATATCTCCTACAGTTTAAGAGCTAGAAGCTTTAAATTTGGATAGTTGAGTTACTGGTAGCCTTCTCTATCGTTAAACCAAAAAATAAGTTTTACGCCTCTTTTGGGGAGTGGCATATCGAAAAATAGCCTGTAATTTTTGCGGTTTACCACGCCCCCTTTGGGCGGACATATATCCGACAAAGCTTTTTGGTCTTGGGTGGTCAGCCTGATTATATATATATACAAAATTTTAGGTCTTAGCATCAATAGTGTTCAAAATATAGCAGCATTTAAAAAATCACTATATCTTCAGTTCCGATGTACCACGCCCCTAATGGGCGTAGACATAACACTTTTGTCATAAGACTTTATATACATTATACATTAGCTTACGTGCAAAATTTCAGCGTTCTAGCTGTAAAACTCTTTAAGGTACAGTTTTATCCGATTTGCCACGCCCCCAATAGGCGTAGATATATCCGCCATAGCTCGTGATCTTGGATGGTCAATTCGGATCTACATTCCAAATTTCATCTTTCTAGCTTAGAATATGCTAGAGTATGCATTTATGTGTACATACATACACACATAAAAATGATACATATATTATATAATATAACTAGCTGGCCCGGCAAACGTTGCATTGCCCTATCCATTATTTCTAGGTACAAAATTGTTGAAAGCTATGTTGTTCAGGTCGGGATACACTCTGATTAATTTATTAATCGGATTTTCATTCAAGCACCTTGTGGTAAACGACATTCTTCGTTTTTTGGTCAGGTGCAAAAGCAAATAATGCGGATGGTTTGCCAACACGTGGGTTACGTACAAACCCACTCCACTTCCAGAACAGAATGCAAACTCAATCATTCAACTAAATTCAATAAGTCAGCAGTTACAAGAGTTATTGAACTCTATAAATGTTAAGTAAATTATGTTGCGACAGAGTTTATCAACCTCTTTATTTTGCAAGTTACACATTCAGCTAAATTCATTAAGTCAGCAGATACAAGAGTTATTGAACTCTATAAATGTTAAAGTAAACTATGTTGCGACAGAGTTTATTAATCTCTTTATTTTGCACACTAAGTATCCGGTGTCGCAACCAAAAATGCAATGCCCCAAATTCATGTAACGCCGACACAACATATATTGTAAGACACATTTATGTAGACTAAGCACTTTTTGTAACATTTATATTGAGTACATTTCGAATAAACGAGTGAGTTGATTCTGACCACTGAAGAATACACGTCGTGCCGTGAAGTTATTATTTTTTTTTTTTTAGCAAACTACTTTGCAGTTTACTTAATTGGCGCAGCCGGTAGGATCCATTTTCATCAAAAAGGATTCAGTGATAAACAATCGAACCGAATAAAAATAAATAAACTTAAACGGCAAAAACAAAGCTAATAAATATAATAACATAAATATATACATAAATATATATTTATCGGCCGACGGAAAATCTTTTTTTTTTTAAATCAGTGCAGTGCAAACCCAACTACAAATAAGTGGGCAACTGTTACTGTGAATAACTCCAGATCAGTGCCAACCCAACTACAAATAAGTGGGCAAGTGTTACTGTGAACTAAAAATCAGTGCAGATACACAAAAATCCAACTACAAATAAGTTGGCAGTGCAGTATCATTTCGACATCTCTGGAGATAAGACGTGCTGCATTGAAACCTCGCTACGCCAACGCAACAGCAAAAGCTTATCAGCAAACGCGCGACAAGCAAAAATCAAACCGCGAAGCAAACAAAACAAAACAAAAAAACAAAAACAAACACACATCACAAACAGTTACATCGGGCTTGCGCCCAAAAACAACTAATATGCACGAGCCACCGGACATGAGCAAATACAAAAACACACATCTAAGCGAACCAAAATACATTGTTCTAAAGTGAAACAACAATGAATCGTTCGAAAAAGTTTCACCGTTCATCATAAAAAAAAACTATTGACTATGCTTGCGGAGGAGAAGTTGAGACATGCAAAAAAACAAGAGACGGCTGCCTACTAATTAAAACCAAAAACAATTTGCAAGCTTTAAAACTACTCAAACTCACCAAAATGATTGACGTCGATATTACAGCAACAGAACATAAAACATTAAACTTTTCTAAAGGCGTTATATACAGTAATGATCTACGCAACATAAGTGAAAATATAATCCAACAAGAACTGAAACCACAAAAAGTAACTGAAGTACGTAAAATCTTAAAAAGGCAAGCAAGTAACATAAACTTAGAAGATAACACTCTCGTAGAAACTGGGCTCATCATAATTACGTGCGAATCACACAAACTGCCCGAAAAAATAAAAATTAGATACGAATCCGTCTATGTAAGACCTTACATTCCCCTTCCACTACGTTGCAAAAACTGCCTTCGCTTTGGACACCCTACTAACATCTGCAAAAGCCAAGAAACATGTAAAAACTGCTCAGATAGTAAACACATTAACGAAAGGGAACAATGCAACAATACACAAAGCTGCCTAAATTGTAAAAACAACCCAGAGCTTAATCACCAACACAGCCCAATTGATCGTAATTGCCCTACTTTCCGAAAACAACAAGAACTGACAGCAATAAAAATAACAGAAAAAGTAGATCACAAAACTGCAACTGATATATACTACAAAAGACATAATACACAGCTGAAAAATACTTATGCTAAAACGCTTGCACAACCAACAACACAAACATCAACAACACGCACACCAACCCACACACCATCCACTGCACAATATACACATACTCAAACTAGTGCCATACACCAACCCAAGCTCCTGAGGCAGAACGCAGCTACATCAGAACCAACTACATCCCGAACAACTATAAACCCACAACAACAACTACACCAAACCACACAAGAAGACATGGAAACCGACGCTAATCTCCCCAATATGGGAAAAACAGCGTATACCTCACAGCCTACCGAAGATCTAAAACTAAGAATATTCACTAAAGATAAGTCTAACACCCTAACCACTCACTTTAAACCCTCTAAACTCCCTCTAACAAAATCAAAAACTAAACCTCCAAACAAGAATCAACACACAAATAATAGCGACAGCTCCATATAAAAAAAAAAAAAAAAAAAAAAAAAAAAAAACAACTTTCAACTTAAACTCCAAACAAAACTAATACTCAATTGCATACACTAAAACTTAAAAACTGCATCAATGCTGAAAATACTACAATGGAACATCAAAGGCTACACAAACAATTACAATGAACTCTTAACCATTATTAAACAAGTAAGAAAGCTCTAGTCGAGACTGCTCGACTACGAGATCCCCTGAACCCTTGGAGCAATAGATATTTCAATACTTTTTCGCGACTTTCAGCTTACACAAGAAACACGCACACACACACACACGCACGTACGCAAACACAGGCATACATACACACACACGCATACAGACACACATACACACACACACGCATACACACACAAACCCATACACACACACACATACACACACACATACACAAACACATACACACACAAGCAACCATGCATAAACACGCATGGGCTGCAGTGTGCGCTTACTATGAGAACTTAATTGTTTAATAACTTTTTTTTACTTTTATGGACGTACGATCTTCATGAAACTTTTAGATTATGATTATAACACGAATATGCATGTAATTGCCAAAGCACAAGTCTCTAGTATTTGAAATACGCTTTTTACAAAAGTGAGGGTGAGGGGGTGAATTTAGAGGTGGGGGGGTAAATTTTAACAAAAACCGAAATTGTATAAATTGCATATAAGCATACATTAAAAAATTTGGAGACTCTAGCCATAAAGGTGTAGAAGATATAATTTTATAACTGGGTTTCGATAAGGGTTTTTATCGATAAAAAAATATCGAGATGAGTTATCGATTTTTAATGATAAACTTGATATGCGCGCTGTAATTACGGACATTTTAAAAAAATTTGAAGTCTCTAGCTCTTATATCTTCTGAAATCGACGCGTTCATACATACGGACAGACGGACAGACGGACAGACGGACAGACAGACGGACAGGGCCAAATCAACTCAGCTCGTCACCCTGATCAAGAATATATATACTTTGTGGGGTCTGCCACGCCTCCTTCTCCCTGTTACATACATTTCAACAAAACCATTATACCCTGATTTCCCATTGAAAATGGGTTCAGGGTATAAAAATGTTCACCACAAATAATATGTCTACAAGAAACACACTATTACAACAAAAACACATTTATCCCCACCCCAATAAACTACCAAATTTACACCAATAGAGCCACCAACCGATTTGGCGACGTATCCATATTAATACATAAATCCATACAACACAAACAATTAAACCAACCTGAACACTTAGAAACTCTCAATAGAAATTATATCAAAGACAAAAATCAACATACTATCTACATACATCCCTCCCAGTAAACCCTTTTCCCTCAAATGCCTACACGATCAATTTGAAACACACAACATCAACAGCAACAAAATTATTGTAGGAGACTTTAACAGTCAACACCACAGCTGGGGTTCACCTCAAGACAACAGAAGAGGCAGAATCTTATCAAAATTTATTCAAAACTCCAACCTTACCATACTCAATGACGGCTCCCCAACTCATTTTTCTACCCACAATACATTCACCCACATAGACCTCTCATTATGCTCCCCACAACTCACCCCATTCGCAAACTGGAAAATATTTAACGACCTACATGGAAGTGATCACTTTCCAATCCTAATCTCCTTATCCCCACAAACACAAATAACAAATTTTTCTCGCCCACTTTTCAAAATAAAAGAAGCCAACTGGCCACTCTTCGAAAAACTAACTGACGACATCAACAATATAGCACAAACATTAATAAAGAAGCCGCATCCATAAACAAGATAATCCTACAAGCCGCCCATCACGCCATACCCCAAACTACCCCACACCACTACAACAAAAACACCCCCTGGTGGAATAAGACTCTTGTAGTATGTCCACTTTATCAAATGTTCACTGTACTCAGTAACATATATATTTACATACACAAAGAATGTCACAAATACATTGTTACAATTAAACATACATACATAAGAAGTAATATGATCACTCTCAAGTGCATTGGCCTCAACAGTGCACTAACTCCGCTGAGTCGGCATATTTTGCATGCGCGACTGTTTCGTAAACAAGTGGACACATTACCCCCACTCCGTCTGCGACTCTCGCCAGACCATTAAGCTAATATATAAACACTTATACCTAAGCATATATGCATATGAACGAAGCCGCTCTGCTGCTGGCGTAACCGGCAGCACAGCTATGCGGCTCTAGCTATAAGAATGTAATATATATTCTGTAAATTCATTCGCAAAAGAAGTCTAAGAAGGCACTGACGTGCCATCGTAAATAAATGCTTTCTTTATTAAAACATTCGACAAATTATCCTCAACATGGCGACCGTGACCAGTCCTTTTAAGGACTAACCGGATCAACAAAAACAACAAGAACAACAATATGATCATCAACCGCAACATTGTCAGCACAAGCAATAGCAGCAGCAGCAACAACAACCACAACAGCAACAACAACAACATCAGCAACAACAGCAGCAGCAGGCCCAGAAGTACAGCAGCAACGTCGACGAGGACAACAAGTAGCCGCGCACATCCAGCGAGAAGGCCAAGAATGTCAACAGCCGCATGCTGGCGGCATAATACATCCGCATCACATCCGCATGTGACACAGGAGACACAGCAGCAACATCAACTGAGTGAGTAGAGGCTCTGAGCTATGCCTAAAAATAGGCGCAGTGGAGTTAATAGAAGGCTTAAGAATAAAAAAGCCGAACTCCTAAAGCTGTTATTTGCCACCAACACGAAAATAAGTTGGGAAAGAGGCAATAAAATACAAGCAGAAATCGACAATATCGAGTCGATTCAGCAAAAATATAAAAGCTCATCCTCTACAAACGAAAAAAGCATCAAGAAAGTAAAAATTATTAACGATATCAAATTTCAAGCAGTACCACCAAAAAAGGAAATCAAAACAAAACCGGAAGATACATGCCCTGCTGACTGCGCTGGACCACTGGAGACGCCTCACTGCGTATACACATGTATGAAAAGGACCAGCACCGGCGCCCCAACAGCCTGTGCGGAACCAGCACCGGCGCCCCAACAGACCAAGTACTATAGGGCCGGCAGCGCTACATAGAGCGCGCAACATATTTCTATATATATATATATAAATAAATTTAAATTTAAAAGAAAAATTGTTAAACTAGGAATTAAATTAAGTCATGAAATGTAAAGATATGTTTGTAATACTGAGCGATAATTGCGTTGCTCGTAATAGAGTATGGCCTGACAGCCATACGAAACATTAGACAGGAGATCACTGCGCTGATCGAATAGGAAAACTATATTAGAAAGAATATAAATGACAAAGTGAAAAAAAATTAAGAATAACAAAATTAAAAATTTAAAAAAAAAAAATAAGTAGTTGATTATGAATTTAAAAAAAAAATATATATATATAATAAATATATAAGAAATGCACCTTATCGAGAATCATTATATTATCGTTTTATACTTCTATGCGAAGTAATAGCATAAGTAAATTTGAAGAAATGGAATCAGAGAAATTAGTCGAATTAGGAGTAGCACCCAAAATGGGACTCGTAGACACAAAGGTAGTGGATTCCACTGCTAACGTAATAAACAAAATTGAGTCAAATAATATGGACTCTAAAATAACAAATATATTGCTGTTTATAATCGTCATTATTATGAGTGCATATGTAATTTATAAAGCATATTTGCTGCATAACAAATGCATTACAAAGAGGGCCTTAAGCCAAGCTAATGATCTAGACAAGATCTAAATAAATGCACAGACGATCTAAACAGGAATAAATTAAAAAAAAAAGAGAAAACTTTTATATATGTCTAATAATAAAAACACACTCAAAACACAAATATTTGTCTAGTATATAGGAAATAACTAAAATGTCAAACGCACATATTAGAGACCTATGTCAGCAATTACTCAGCAGAGAGCCAGAATTCCTAGTGAGATCATTAAATGTGCTTCAACAGCACAAATAATTTATAAGCGTATATGAATTCTCAGGAGAATATATGGAAACGTTCGGTGGTGTTACATGTCCATTAGATGGTCTGACCCAAATCGAGCAAGGTCTTGTCTTAGCGACAACCATTACTTATTTACAGGCTAAAATTGTAACTGAATATAACCCCATACTAGGACAATCCAAAAAGTTATGGTGCGATCGCATCGCTAACAAGCTTTTCAATCCTAAGAATGAATTGGGAACAACTCAGCCTCCATATACGCGAAATAAAAAAAAAATTTAGCAAGTCTTATAAATGTGTAACACAGAATAGGACAATACAAAAAGAAACGTTAAATAAGCATGCGAAAATTCTCGTTGATTCATTCAACGACGCACGAACGTTAGTAAATGACAATAGGGAAATAATTGGCAAATCGAATTGGACAAAGATTTCAAAACTATTGATCAAACTACGTTCGAACCTTATAAACGTAAAAGAAAAATATAAGTTAGATATATTCATACCAACCGTATTGAACACACCTCTAGCTATATTCACTAACATAGAATCAGCTGACGAAAATTCCGATTCTGAGTCCGAAACTCAGATAAAAGAAAAAGATCTAAACGATCTAACAATACCAGCCCTATTTACATTATCGGAACCCGATAATGAAATAGAAGAATATTCAGACATAGATTCTAATACAAGTATAGTAGATAGAAAAATAAACATAATGGCAAATATAAACGATCAAAGAGCCTATATAAAGGACATTTCAAATGCCATTCCGGAATTCAACGGACAAAGAATACATCTTCAAAGATTCATAAGAGCTTTGAAGTTAGTAGATCTTACAAAAGGCACATTTGAAGATATAGCTGTTGAAGTAATAAAATCAAAAATTATTGGCTCAATATTATATAAAGTCCAAGACGAAACAACTATAAAAGCTATAATAAAAAAACTTCAAGATACTATAGTTGGTGAAACATCCGACGTAGTAAAGGCCAAACTATCTAAAACTATACAAAAAGGAAAAACCGCCGAGAAATTCACGACCGAAATAGACAATTTACGAAGGCTTCTTGAGGCTTCGTATATTGATGAAGGGTTACCAGCGGAACATGCTGATAAATTCAGTACCAAGGAAGTCATTGACGCAATGATTAAAAATTGCGAACAGAGTAAATTAAAAACAATCCTTGAGGCTGGCAACTTCAAAACAATGAACGATGCCATAGCCAAATATGTACAATATAGTACAGAAATGACCGGAAATCCAAACACGGTGTTCTACACCCAAAGGGGTCGAGGTAATTTCAATAACAGAGGTCGTGGTAGAGGCAATGGCCGCGGTTATTATAATAATAATAATGATCGCTACAACTACCAAAACACCAATCAAAATAACTATAGAGGAAACAATAGAGGAAATTATAATAATAGAAGTAATAGAGGAAGCAGTAGAGGAAATAACCAGCAGAACAGCGGTTATAACCGATACAATAATAACAATAATAACAACAATGTTAGGGTGGCCCAAAACACATCGGGAAACTCACAAAACCCTTTAGAAACTCAGCAGTAAAGATATCGGAAATTCACACTATCAATCTCAGCAAAAATATATATGTAAAATTCACAAACGCTAGTACAGGAAATGAATTAGTCTTTTTAGTCGACACCGGCGCAGACATCTCAATATTAAAAGAAAATTCGGATGTTTATCAAAACATCCAAACAAACAATATAATTAACATACAAGGAATAAGTAAGGAAGTTACTAAATCCAAAGGATTTACGTCTATAGAAATACAAACTTCAAAATATATAATTCCACACGATTTTCACATCGTGAATACAAACTTTGCTATTCCATGTGATGGTATACTAGGAATAGATTTCATAAAGAAATATAACTGCGTATTGGATTTCAATCCAACTGAAGACTGGCTAATAATTAGACCAAACAATTTAAAATATCCCATTTATGTTCAAATAACATAGAGTTCTGGCAACAACTCCTTAATTCTGCCAGCAAGATCTCAAGTAATCAGAAACATTAAAATAAACTCAGAAGAAGAAAGTATACTTATTCCAAATCAAGAAATTCAGCATGGTGTTTACATAGCAAATACCATAGTAAATTCTCAAAACGCATTCTTAAGAATACTGAATACAACTAACGAAGACCAATTAATTAGCATAAATAGTTTAAAACATGAACCACTTTCAAACTACGAAGTAGTTACAACAACTCCAGAAAAAAGGAGAAAAAAAATTGTACTAAGCCAGCTATCAAAAAATTTTCCGCCATTATTCCATAAACAGCTAACGTCACTGTGCGTACAATATAGTGATGTGTTTGGTTTAGAAACCGAACCAATGACCACAAATAATTTCTATAAACAAAAACTGAGATTGAAAGATGATGAACCGATATATATAAAAAATTATAGAAATCCTCACAGCCAAAAAGAAGAAATTCAGAAACAAGTCAAAAAACTAATTGACGACAAAATAGTCGAACCGTCCGTATCTCCCTATAATAGCCCTTTGTTATTAGTACCCAAGAAAACACTTCCGAATTCTGAAAAGAAAAAATGGCGATTAGTAATTGACTATCGTCAGATCAATAAAAAATTGTTGTCCGATAAATTTCCACTCCCTAGAATTGATGATATTTTAGATCAACTAGGTAGAGCGAAATTCTTTTCATGCCTAGATTTAATGTCAGGTTTTCACCAAATAGAACTCGAAGAAAGATCAAGAGATATTACTTCATTTTCAACAACAAACGGTTCATATCGCTTCACGCGGTTACCATTTGGTTTAAAAATAGCGCCAAATTCGTTTCAAAGAATGATGACTATAGCATTCTCTGGACTTGAACCCTCTCAAGCATTCCTTTATATGGATGACTTAATAGTCATTGGTTGCTCCGAAAAACATATGCTCAAAAACTTAACTGATGTTTTTGAGAAATGTAGGCAGCACAACCTAAAGTTACATCCAGAAAAATGTTCATTTTTTATGCATGAAGTCACTTTCTTAGGACATAAATGCACAGATAATGGAATCTTACCCGACGACAAAAAATACGACGTCATTCAAAATTATCCAGTCCCACATGATGCGGACACCGCCAGAAGATTTATAGCTTTTTGTAATTACTACAGACGATTCATTAAAAACTTCGCCGACTATTCTCGTCACATAACAAAGCTATGCAAAAAAGATGTCAAAATCGAATGGACGGCAGATTGCCAAAACGCCTTCGAACATCTAAAATCGGCATTAATGAATCCAACACTCCTCCAATACCCAGACTTCAGCAAAGAATTTTGCATTATAACGGATGCCAGTAAGCAAGCTTGTGGAGCAGTCCTTACACAAAACAAAGATAGACTTCAACTCCCGGTAGCATACGCATCAAGATCTTTTACTAAAGGAGAAAGTAATAAAAGCACAACAGAACAGGAACTAACAGCCATACATTGGGCAATAACGTACTTCAGGCCATACATTTATGGTAGACACTTCACTGTCAAAACAGATCACAGGCCACTCACATATCTATTTTCAATGACAAATCCGAGCTCCAAACTCACCAGAATAAGACTTGAACTAGAGGAATATAATTTTACGGTAGAATTTCTAAAGGGAAAAGACAACTACGTAGCCGATGCGCTATCTAGAATAACGATAAAAGACTTAAAAAATATACAGACAAATAATAAAATTCTGAAAGTCACTACCAGAAATCAAAGTAAACAGTTAAATTCCTGCGCAGGAAAAGAAAAAGAAAAAGAAAAGGAGGTCTTGCAAAAGCAGACTCCAAATGCTTCTAAGCCCAACGTATACGAAGTCATTGTAAATGACGAAGTACGAAAAGTAGTGACCTTGCGAATAACAAATTCTTTATGTTTATTAAAACAAGGAAAGAGTGTTATCGCAAGAATTGATGTTAGCAATATGTACACCAATGAAACTTTTGACTTAGGTCAGTTCTTTCAAAGGCTTGAATCAGAAGCCGGTATACTTAATATTAGCAAACTCAAAGTGGCACCGAGCGAGAAGATCTTTGAGATTATCTCAATAGAATCTTTTAAATTAATGGGCAATAAATATTTAAAATCTTTAAGAGTAGCGCTACTCAAGC